GAATGCGCTCTATTGGCTTTCTCTTCATTTTCATTTCTTCTTCTCATTCTGAATTCATTAACTAAAGTTTGAAGAGAAAAATGTTCTTTTTCACTATCACTAATCCTAGGAGAATTCCTTCTAGACATTATGATGGACTTAAATGTTATTCTTGAAGTAAAGACTAGAGATTTTCACTTGAAGCAATATTCCAGGTAAGGGAGGTGATTCACTGGAATGCTTTTTTTTTTTTTTTTTTTTTTTTTTTTTTTTTTTTTTTTTTTTTTTTTTTTTTTTTTTTTAAAAACAAGTTACCCAAGCCTTTTTCCTGCCAAATATGCTTCTTGCTACTTATAGAGTCCTTTTAGATCAAAATCACTCTTAAATCCACTTAAGTCTTAAAGACACAAAGGAAAAAACACAAAGCAAAGGGAAGGACAACAACTAAATCTAATTTCGGACCCCTCTAAGAGAGCTTCCTATTCGCACAAGATATATGTTTTATCTAGTCGAAAACTTGGAAAGAAAAAAACCATTATAAAGTGAGGTCTCCTAGGTGAGGCTTAGACTTTGGACTAAGACACAACCACCGACTATCAATTTTAGGTTGTGAGACTTCTGTGCGTCTAGTTACCAAATGAGGGAGGCAATTGTGAACTCTAGCCACCTAATTGCTTTTGGATTGGAACGTACAACCAAAGAAGAAAAACAATGGATGTTCCAAGAAATTTGGTTGTTAAATTGGAAAAGGAAAAGTTAAAACTTGGCTAAGGGACAAGTATGCAGCTTGGGTGCTCTTCAAAGAACTGAATCTACTGGATTCCAAACAATTGCTTCTCAGCTGCAAGGTGCCTAAACCAAAGAAATTAATTTCTTGCGTATAAAATGCTGCTGCAGTCACGGTTTTTCCTTCTTCAAGTTCAACTTCATATTTTCTTCACCCAATTGAACTTCCTTGTGATGCTTCACTTGCAGTGATCCAGTTGAGTGATTAGTTCACCTATCACTAAACCAATTAGTACAGGGAAAACCTACCACCACAATTGCCAGCAAAATCCATTCCAAAGTGACGCAAACACCAGGAACTTTTGTCAAAACATATGGTGTGACAGAGTGTTAAAATTAGAGAAAGACAAGCAATTAAGTGGCTATTCAATCACGTCTGGCTTTGCACATCAAATGATCTTAGGAATGGATCTAGAATAGAATTAAAACGCACTAAAAGACTTTAAATCCCAGAATCACCACGAATTGGCTATGCATTGAAAATTGAACCAAACTGTTTTGATGAATTGCCTGAATGAGTTGCACCAGATTTGGGCACAGATTTCTGCACCAGATTTTGATAAATTCAAAACTTCGAAAAATGATGATTGCCCTTGCAAATGGTCATAAGTGCCCTTTTAACTTTTGTAATATCTCTTTTGAATTGTATTCTTTATATTTTTAAATGGACCATGGCTTTTACTGCATCTAAAAATGATGAATCAAAACAACAGTCATGTAGTGCAGAATTGACAGGAAAAACCAGAACATTTTGCAGCAGAGTCCAATTTTTTCACAGCAGAAAAAGAGACAAATATGAACAGTACTTGCACCTAGTATTTTCCATGATTCAACATGGTGTTGATGATGATTTATACTTGTTGGAACTAATTGGATAAATCAAAAATATATAAAAAAAAAATCACTACTGCAGTACCATATTTCGCTAAAGGTACAAACTAGCATGGTCAAATTTGATTCAAAAAGTAATCTGACTTGAAAACAGCAAGGAGGAGTTAGAAATGGTATTGAAATTTGCACAAATGCAGAAATTCAGTGTGATGTTTGATTAGCGATGAGACTAATACTAACCACACACAATTAAGCAAACATTGACTCAAGGAAAACTCATGCATCTCGGCCAAAAATGCTTGGACACTATTGCCCACTGACAAACTATTGGAAATCAAAACTCCATTTATCTTCCAAATGGGTTCAGACAAGGGATCAAACCAATGCGGTTCAATAGAACAGTATAAATGGACCATCGAAACCAGTGGGGCCAATGCAGACAAAAACAGAACTTGAAAATGCTGTCAGGATTTTAAAAAAAAAACACTCACAGGGATTTGGAGTTTGAATGATAGATCTCAACACCGAGCTCATTTCTGAAAAAGTATTCATTGCTCCTTTACTGGTGTAGCCACATTCAAAACACTCAGGATTTTGGTAAAAAATGGTAGAAAAACCAGGATTTGATAAACAAAACAGCAAGAACTAACAAGACTTAAGACAAAAACAGAAATGATGTTTAAATGGTAAAATAGAATCAAACAATTAATAACAGCCGAAATAAAAATGAAGGAAACCAAACAACGACAGCTAGTAGCCAATGAAATTACGAGTAGATCCTAAACAAAGCAATGATTGATGAAACATTGCAAGAATTTTTCAGAAAACAGCAATGACCAAACCAGGAAATGTTTGACAGCAGGATAAATGGAGAAAATCTGGACTTATCTCACGGTTCTAGTTAGAAAACTTGCTCTGAATACACTTGTACAATCCTGGAGATGGGAGAAGCCGATCCGTGAGATTGGAGGTGCAGGGAGGCTTGAACAGCTTGCGGAAAACCAATGGAACAGTTTAGCAGGGGCAGTGCAGGACATTGAGTTTGTGAGCAGATGATGAAGAGTTTGGATGTGAAAGCATAGCAGCGGATGTTGGAGGTTAGGGAATGGATATGGAGCTAGCTTGGAGAGGTGATCACAACTCATAAGGATTCCTAGGGTGAGAGGAAGTTGCCCTGGGAAATCAAGCTAAAGAAGGGACTCTTGAGAAGGAATTTGCTATGCATTTCAGCAGAAATCTGTAATTCAATCCAAAGTGATTTACAAGCTTTTTCATATGAGATTTTATAGCTTAATCTCAAGGCTTAAGCACTAACTTTCACGTGAAAATCAAGTTTTATGTGAAGAAAAACAATTACTCATGCAACCCCATAGAAGGATAAGTACACCCCTTTTGTATAGAAATGTCTTTTTTACCCTTCTCCATGTTTTGGCAGATTTGGCATATCTTCTTGTTCTCCAATTTCCATCCAAAAAGATAGCAAATAGTACTTGACCTTGAGGAGCATATTCATCTTGGAGCTTTTTGGCCATTCCTCTTGTGATGGGTCCTATGGTGTTAGACCTTCTGGTATCAGATCTCCCTCTCAGCCACCTTCCTTGCACTGCCTTCATTCTCATTTTCCTTGATTTCCACGGTGCTCCACCTTATTTCTCTCACTTCCATAACGTTGTTTCCATACGGTAGCCATTAATTCACTGCCACATCTTCAGCGCTTCAACGACACCTCACTGCACCTTGCGCGTCTTCTTTTTTTGTTTTTTTCTTTCACGAGAGCATTCTCTCTCGAGTCCCTCGTCTCCAGCCATGGTTCTTCACGGTGAGTCTTCTATCCTTGCAGATTCACTTTGTCATTCTCGTTTCTCCCTCGTCACAGCCTCTTCCACCATTTTGTCATATTTTGACCGTTTTAAACACCTCTCTTCACATCGTTTTCCATTTTCCACCGATTGAACCTCCTTTATTTCATCTAATCCTTTCCACCAATCAATCTTGTGTTTGAACCGATAATCGGTATATTGAGTTTTCTCCCATTTCTAGGGATCCTTTTGACAGTTTAGGGTTTTTTGGTTCGATTAGGCTTGAGTTTAGTTTTCCTTGAGTCAGTCTTCGATCTCGTGTTCTCTCATCATTTCAACATTCCGCTGCGTATTACTCGTCGGAGGAAGTTTCGAGGAGGTCGGTTCGTGCTCGCGCAACTTCAATCGGATCGTCCTCTCCTCGGACGTTCGTCCATCAAGTGGTATTCAGAGCTCAGGTTCGAGCACGCTTCAGAGGTAAGTTGTCTCGCGTTCTCTGTTTTCCCGTTGTTTTCGCTTGAGTCCGAGTTGAGTTGTTTCGATTCGGTCTTGGCCGATTCATATTTTGTTCATTTGATTCGCGTTCTGTTTCATGTCATCGTCTGATAGTTTCATCTCTTTTTGATTTTTTGCGTTTTGTTTCGTTCAATTTCTGATTTGTTCATCATTTTCTATTACTGTCTTGTGATCTGGTTTGTGTCATCATTGAATCAATTCCAGGTGTTTTCTGGTTTGATGTTGAACTCATTTTCTGATTTTGTGCTTGTCTGTGCCTTGAGTCAATGTTTTTTTTTATCATTTTATTCGGTGAATCCAATTTGTTTGAGTCTTTTAATTTGAAAATCACATTTCTGTCATGTTCTAGTCTTGTGCTTTGTTTTAATTGTCAATTTAATTCGAGTTTAACTAGCTGATGCTTGTGTTTTGTGATTCATTTGTGTTGTTTGCACTGAGTAAGTTCTGTTCACCTTAAATAAGCTATGATATTTGGATAAATGAGCTTGGTGACAGATTTCAGTGGTGGAGATAATGAATCTCATGTTCTTGAATCTGTTTAATGATAGCTTTGCTTGGTTTCTGCCTAATCAGTAACAAGTGCATACCAAGTGAGCAATGAAAGGCTCAGCCTAGCTCAGTTGCACATTGATTAATTAGCAGATTTGTTATTTGGCCAGCTACACCGAACTGGTTTTTCTTTGCAGAGTCTGTGAGTCATTCATACTTGGTTTTAAATTCTTTGCCAAGTTCTGATTCAAATTTTTCCAGTATTGTCTTTGTTTCGTTGGCATCTATTGTAGTAAATGAATCTGCAGAATTGCATTAAAATTGTTTACAACAGTGATTGAACTTAGTTTGATCTACTGAGTTTGTGATCCATAGTGTGCTTCACTGTTTTCACTTTGCTATCAATTCTGCAATTGAGAATACATTTTGGTCACTCAAGGAAGCCTAAACCAGTAGTATTTGAAACTATAATTGTGGTTGAGAGTGATTAGTCTCTTGTTTTCCTTTGGATATTTTCTTTGCGTTGAACCATGTTCATTTTCCTTTGACAAAAAAATCTGATTAAGTTGAAAACTGATTAAGTGATCTGTTGTGAACTGTGACTGAAAATAGCAAGTTCTAAAGTGTTATCCAACTCAGATTTGGCTATCAAATTGTGATAAAAAAAAAAAAAAAGCAAGGAGAACTGGTGCAATTCACAATATTGTTCACTGTTTCAGTAAACTATCTCTGCCAAAATCAGATATAACTTTCTTCAATTATAACTGGTTCAACTTAAGTCCTTTTTTTTTTATTGTTTTTAAAATCTGTTCTAGTTCTATTCCTTAGGTTCTATTTGTTGTGCTTACTTTGATCAAAAGCTTTGTTCTTGCTTGTCATTGTTGAATGTTCTGGTTTTGTCTCAATGCAAGTGTAAACTCTGATCTGCTGTTCATAATTGAGCTTTTGTTGCTTTCATAATCTGATCTAGAGTTGATCTTGAGTCAGTTCTCTGTTGTGCTGTTAGTTTCATTATCTGGTGCTTACATTGTTGGTGGCTGTCCTGTTTTGTCCATTACTTTGCCTTAGCATAGCCTTGTCTAAAATTAAGAAGTTTTTACACTTTGGTTTCTGGAGTTTGAAAGAGGTTTGTGTGCAAGGAAGGTGGCTAGAGGGAGTCTTTGGACTCTCTAGCATGTGACTTTCAAGAGAGAATTATTTCTGAAGTTCAGAAAATCAAATTCTCATTAAGCTCAAAAGTGCCAATACAATAGAGGAGCTGGGTATTTATAGTAACCCATGCTCCTTGCAAGCGTTAATTGCTTCCCTAATGCTTGTACTAAAGCAAATGGTTACAGTCAAAGAGATTATGAAGCTCACCTCTACAACATCACCCTACCTATGGATTTGTCTCTGTTTTGTTTTCCCTTCTGTCCTCTGCCTCTTATTCATTAAACCTTATCGCATAGTCCTTTGCTAATCATTTCATTAATCTTAAGCATGTTATTGGACTAAGACACCAATTAGAGTAAGAAATCTTGTTTTTGGTAGTTTACTAGTTATCCACCCATGTTTTTAATTGAGCTAATGTGAACATCTTTATAGCATTGGTTGTCCCATTTCTAAAGCTGATATTTTTTCTATAATTCCAAATCATTCAAACTAGTGTCATCCACACAAATCTCCACACATTATTTTCTTTATTATTCAATTTCGTGAGATAAAAGTGTCAGAAGTTTTTCTTTCCAATACAATGTTCCAAATTGCATGTCTACCCATTTTGTAACCGATTCCATACAACACTTGCTATATTGCAATTGGAAAATAAGTGACTTACAAATTCATCTATTGTTTAACACATTGCACATAATTTATTACTTATCCCTATCCCTTTTAAAACATAAATTAAGATCAAAATATTCTATTTGATTCCAATAATGCAAATTCATTTGAAAATTAGGCTCTTTAAACATATATAAAAGCAATAAACAATATAAAGTAAAACGAAATTAGAAAAATTTCAACTTTTCTTTAGCAAAGTATAGTTATATATTTGTAAACGCAGTACGTAGTATGATTCTAAACAAGGTGAATATGAATAAGTCCTACACAAAGTTGGGCACTGCTAATTTTAGATTTTGGTATGATTTGATGATCAGAGATTCTTAAAACTTGGCTTACATCTTATTAGGTCAAGGCCTGCTGGAATTTATTACAATACTATATATATTACAGCTAAATGTGAATTTTGAACTGATTTGTTGATCAATTTCTTGCTATTGTGATAAGACCCTTAAGGTGTATGTTAGGAAGAAGGTTTAAAATCAGAGATTTCATGACAGTTAAGGGTGGTTGAGCAGTTTAGGGCAGTTTAGGGGTGGTTAGAGGTAGCTATTAAAGTTTAGTTAGGGTTATCTTTTAAGGAGGAAATGGTTCCTCTTGGTGGGTGGGTTGTATTTTTGATTTTGGAACAGGGCTTGTCCTGTGTAGAAGGGATTTACTTCCCTTGGAAGCTGTTGAATGTTTTCTGTCTTATGTTTTCTTTAATTAAAGTATTATCTTATGTTGTGCAGTAAGATTTGAGTGCTCATTTCTTTACTGAATCTGAAAATCTGGTTTCTTGTTCCCAAGAAACCTAACATATTGCTAATTTCTTTATCGATGGCTAGTCCCTCCAGGTGTGATACTGTATCCTTGCAAAAAAAACCTTTATTCCTCACACAAATAGCTAAAGTGGAACCGGAACGATTCAATAACTGCCATCTTTAGGTCTTGGCTCAGGTAAAAGAAGTGTATTCTTGCTCATTTATGATATTTCCTGGTTTACATAATATTTTCAATCTTTCTTCTCCCTAAAATTTGTAGTAGAAAAGTGTAATGATGCATAGTTATGAATTATGATTACTCTTAATAAAGATGTAAAATTGAAACAATAAATCAAAGTTCAATAGAAGTTGTTAGTTTTATGACAATAAAACATGTGACGCAATCAATCTGCTCTAATACTACTGCAAAAGTTTGCAGGTCATATTGATCTAGTTTTTGAAAATTCTATTTAGGAAGTAGGCCATGTTGGAATATCAAGTTTTGTCGAGATACATAGCTGTCCCAACCTATGGTTGATTAGCTTCATATCCTAAGTCCAGTACATGAACTGAAGTTTCAATTTTGATCAATTAATATAGGTCAGGTCTGGAGCATGTGAGTAGTAGTTAGTCCCACCATTAGAAAATACAGGTCAAGTCCGGAGCATGTCTAGATTTCCAGATTTTGCACTTAGGCAGTTAATTCTCGTTAGTTTTAGCAGCACCAGCTTTTGTTTGGTTTGAATAGTAAATTTTGATTTCTGATGCTTTGGTTACTGTGTCATGTTTGTTTCTACATTAGATTCATGCCTTTGAACTTAATTTCAGGTTTAGTTTGACAATTATTTTCTATATGAAGAGGATTTTATATGAACTGTTATAACAAATCTAGAGTTGAGAGTTCATTGAGAGAAACTTCATGTTGTAATCTTTATAATAGTGCATTTCTAGCTGTTGATGTACATTGAAATTAATTAACTCTTCAACTAAACCATGTGAAATTTTTGTGTTTTCTTTGTTACTCTTTCTTGTTTAACTGTCCAGTTTGTGAGTATTCCTTAACTCAAAATATAGAACATAGTTCAAATTCAATTTTCAAAGAACTAAAGGCCTTATTGGAAGAATATATAACTTCCAAACTTTACAAAGTCAAGGATTAAAATCAATTCTCAATATGTATGTATGCAATCGTTGGCAGCCTTTTGACTTAATATACCATAAGACATATCGGTCCAAACCACCTAATCCTGCAAATTACTAAAAGCATAATTCTCTAAAATATCTTACTAACTTGGAAATTTTTTAAGAACCTGATTAGGAATACAACTTCGATGACTGAGATTCTTAGTGTTATGCTTGCTATTGAGTTGACTGTGGTTAGAGCATGAAACTCTTTGTAGTTGGAAAATCATTTCATGTAAGTGGTTCTTTTTTTAAGAACCCTACTATTATTCTTTGGTTTAGTAGATGTAATTACTGCATGCTCACAAATAAGTATTTAAATTTTAAAGCTTTCCACATATTTAGATAATGAAATGAATGTTCGAATAGTTTAGCCAACTTGGAAGTGATATGAAGTAACATTTCTATTGGTTTCATAGTTAGCCTTGTACTACACAAGATTTTTTTAGGAATAGATTTGGATTACATAAACATAAATTTTTTTGATTGAGAACTTCGAATTGATCTCCCATTCTTTTCATTACAAAATTATTTTTCTTTTAATAAATATCTTTAGAAAGCATTAGATTATTGAGGTATGAGATACCAATCTAGTTGGAATGTGATATTATTTTTTAAAATTTTAAATGATAAATATTTTTCTAATAAATATGATCATTTAGGCAATCATACAAATAGTATTCATAAGCAAATAAAATATGTATATTATTTACTAGTTTTTATAAAATACATTTCATATCACTACTATGAAAAATAGGGGAAACATAAACATTTTTTTTATTATAATAAAATACTATGATATATAAATCAACAAGTAGATTAATCATCGTAACAATATAACCAATAAAACAAATGAAATAAAAATATTATTTTTATTAATTTTCTATCAATTTTAACATTTATTACATATTAAAACGGTTTGATTCAACATTAAATAATAAAATTTTAATTAAGCTGTAGGTATATTTGGGAATTGAGTTTGGCTTATTTTTATTATCTATTGAATACTAAAAAAACTATATTTTTTTAATAGATTATCTTTTGTTTAATTTTTCTTTAAGTGAGTAATATAGTTATTAAATAAGTGATGTGATTGTTATCTTATTTAGTATTGTCACATGTAATTTTATTATATCACTTGTAATTTTATTAGATGTTGTGACAACTAAATAAAACAATAGGATAAGATATATTCAATCATCTAACAAAAAAATTAAAGAGTAGAGATTTAATGTTAGAAAATGTAACTTTTCTGAATACTAGACCATAAAATTTTATAAAATTTCAATTAAAAGTTTTCAAATTTAATAAAAACTTAAAACTTAATTAAATTGACGATAGATATCTTTTGCGAAAAAAATAATGTAAATGTAATTTTGATATATTTGTGACTGCGTCTGCAAAACCGTATTTTTTTTCTAATTGGTCCTTCTTAACAGACACCTCTCTCTTTGGACACGACTAGCATTCAAAATCGAAGCAAAGTGAAAGGGCACAGTTTTTATTCCTTTTTGCCTTCTCCGCTTAAAGTTTCTGCCGAAAATGGGAAGCGAAGATAATGTGAAGCATCTTGAAGACTGCTCCGTTTCTAAGTCAGTGATCCTTTTTCTTTATCTCTGATTTTTGTGTGGCAGTTTTCTCCATTTAATGTTTACTTGAATTCATAACCCATCTCACCAATTTGACTGTTTATTAGAAATCTAGTATTGGTTAGATACTCGATACCATCTTTTTTAACACCGCATTAATAGGGAAATCAAATTTAATTTTAGAACTAGTTAGAAACTAGGAAAAGTAATGAACTTTCGGAATTAGGGATCCTAATTTGCAGTCACCTTTGTTATGGGACAACTTCGTTTCCACGAGTCACCATTTCAATCCTCCAAAATAAATTGTTCCAAATTATTCTGACAAAGTACAGAAAGTTCACCAAGTTCACCCATTTTGTTTCACCATTTTGGTCCTCTTGGGGACAAATTTGATGATGTTTTAAATCTTTGATATAACATTTGAAATAAAAAATCTCTGAAAAACTAACATGGTGATGACATGCTCAAGATGAAGTTGAAGACATATACTAAATTATTGTCCTGTATTGTCAATCAGATGGGGATTTTTGTGTCAGTAAATCTCTGTACGCATAAGTTGCTAGTCACTTGACAACAATTGTATCTTAGTTGATGAATTTAGTATTAGGTGAAATCATGATGTCCATGGTCATCATGGTTACTCCTCCAGTGTAAAATGGCATCTATCTACTCAAACCAAGGAGAAAATAATTTGGTTCCAATTTAAGCATTGCAGAAAAAGTTCTTAACACATTGCAATGATGCTTAGTCCCTCACTTCTTAACCCCTGCCCTCGTTTATAATTATTTGGTTTTCTTGTGACTTGTGAATTCGGGTAAGATTGATACCCTTTTAAATGATTTATATTTTGCTTGTGTGGAAATATTTGGTTTCTTTGATGTTTAAGTTTGTCTAGTGCACAATGCCATTTTACTATTTTCAAAGGTGAATTTTCTTAAACTCTTATTAAACATGGAAAGTTTGCAGTGCATTAGGCACTTGGGTGTTCTCAGTTGCAGGAGCATTGTTGGCTATTCCAGTTGGCATAAAGCGCAAATCTCTAGCACCCCTTGTATTTTTTGGCACCACAGGTACTATGTTGGATATTATTATGGGGATCACTGCTTGCGAAAGGGAACACGCAGAGCGCCAAATGAAGCTACTTGAAGCGCAAAATGCTGCTGCCGAAACTTCCTTGGGTGAAACAGAAATTGATTCATAAACCGCTATCTTGAAGTTGTCAGCATTGTCAAACTTGTTTGGGCATGATTGTAACAAACTAAATGCACTTTTCTGGTGGTCACTAGTCAAATATTCTTCTACTTGATGTTTTTTTTATATCCTTTTACGGTTTTTCCTCCAGCGGTGTTTAAAAAAGAAGGTGGATATGATGGATTTCTGTGTTATTTCATAAAGATTTCAGGAATGTTTGATCACAATGTGTTTCTTATATAATGGTAATTAAAAAACGCCATTATTAGATCCTTTTTGGGACTTTTGAGGTGCAAGTTGTACATCGAATAAATGGAGCAGTGAACTTCTTATTTTGTTTTATCTAATTCGATTTCTCCTTTCTCATGAGCTATTGTCACATATAAGATTTGCCAAACTAACATTTTTAGTTTTCCTTTGGGTACAAGTCTTGAAGGATGCGTATGGATAAGTTCTACCCGATTGCCTGTGTACTCGTGCATCTCATGCTTTTTTCTGTAAAATGTTTTCAAAGCATATGTGAAGCTATATTCGATTATGCTTTCCATTTATTTATTTCTCCAATTTAAAATTTTGTAAGACTCCAACATAATTTAAACTTTTCATATCAAATTCTTTAGTTCTTATGAAAATGATTGATGACAATCCCTTTAGGGACTTTCCATCCAAAGACGCATCAACTTAACACTAAGACTAAGAAAGGAAAGTTGAAAAAGGACTTTTAAACAAAAACATCTTTTTTTTCTAAGTCTTAGAATGTTCTCTTTACCTAAATACATTTACCTTGTTTTTAGGTCACCAATAAAGGTGGGAAATCATGTCTATATACCTTGAAAGGCTAGCCAAGCAAAGGAGAATAAAGGAAGTAATGAAGAGTGCATTTGCTGCCAGCGCTCAGCGTGCGTTACTGCTCAGCGACAACGGATCAGCTTCTTCCCTTTGAGCACGTTTTAAATGTGTTTTGCCTGAAACATGCGACCCAACCTATGTAGCTTCTTTTGCATACCTCTTTGGTAGCTTCATGCACGTTGTGAATGTATCAGTAGCTTGCTAGGCACGCATCTCTTACTCTATAAAAGAGAGGTTCTCCTTCTTGTAAATTGAACTTGAATTGATATAGTGAAATGCTACTGAATTGAATCCAACCACTACTTCTTCGAGTTCAACCTTTATGCTGCTTTAGCATGTCTCCCTCTAGCTCCCTTCCCCGCTGGAAGGCTATCTGAGCTTGCAATTCCCACACACACATCCAAACACCGTGAAACATTACAACAAACACCTTGCATGCGCCTTCGTCATTCAACCATCTCTTCATTCCGCTGCCACTTCTGGATCAAGGAGCCACTCAATTCTTGAAGATTAGAGTCGCTTCTATCAATGATATTTGGTTTTTATCCTTAAAATTACAAAAGATTTAATCAGTTTGGTATAGATAAGTGACATTACTTATGCTCTTTGTAAATATGGTACTCTAATTTGTCAAGTCTTCTCTTCCTAATCTTTGGGTTCTTAAAAAAGTATGGATAAAATGCATGCAAAAACTGTAGAGCTTTTTACTGTGAGATATCTTAGATTTTTCATGAAGATAATCATTGTACAAATAGTCTTACTTTTGGGATTCAGTGAGACAAATTATGTTACTTATGCTTAAGGTAAAGATTCTACTCTTGACAAAGTCACACTTTATTGTCTCTATTTCTACATTGGGTTTTACTAAATAAAATACCTACAAAGTTGTAGAACTTTAGACTTTTTAATGTCTCAATTTTCATAAAGGTAATTATTGTATAAAAGTCTTGCTAATCTTTGGATTAATAAGATTAGACTTTACTTGATTTAAAGTTCTTTTGTTTTTTATTAGTCCACACTTCTTTCATAATAGATTTCAATTTCTTGATTTTTGTACTGTATAACAAAGGGGGAGTTTAGTTATATGTTTTTGAACATGAATTTGATTTGATCTTCCAAGTGTTTGTTTATTTTTTTCTCTTCTTTTATATATAGTGATTTTGTAGGGCCCCTCAAGTATCCACAACTCCAAAAAGACTTGGTTCCTTGCTTCCTTTTCTCGTGTTTGTCCAATATTGTCTTCAGTCTGTATGGTATTATTTTCAATGCGCTCGTCTCAATCATTCGGATGACAACTACATAAGGTATCATTATGTTTAAGGAAGAAAGGGTATGAGAGATCATGTATTAAATGTAGCAATCAACGTTAACAACTATTTGATATAGACTTCTATTTTGTTGACCTAATTAATTTTTTAATAACCTCTTAATTTCAATTTTCACTTTGATTTGCACTAATCACTACAGGTAAGTTTAATCATGCTAGCGTCATACCTAATCAGTCATTCTACTTACTAGGAACCTTCATAAGGACCTGGTTGGGTATGTTTGCTATATAAAAATTGGATCTGACCCAACTAGTTTGTGTTATCCTTGTTGGGTATCTACTACACACAATTCCCTCAAGCCCAAGCAGTAGGGTGGTCTCTACGATGGAGTTAATGGTGCTCATAAGTGATTTCGTCGTACCGTTAGGTGTTAATGTCTGACTGGGTGCACTTGAAAAAAGTACAATTAGAGCTTAAAGAGTTGTATTGCCTCATATCGCTTGTTGTCAATTCGGACATCAGATGTGAAATATTAGCTCTCCTCAACCATTGGAGGAACCTCGTTCACACGACTATTGCCTTTATGTGCTAATAAATAAGCTTGCCAATGACTTCTATTTTAAGGTAATAATGTCTACCGTTGATGTTTCTAGTTCAAATTCATATGGTCGAAAAGGTCAAGGTTATGCTGATGAGATATCGTCTTCGTCACTACTCGGGTTGTCTTTAGGGAGTCAAGGGTCAACTGAACGATTGTGCCATCAGTTAACACCATTACTACAAATGTGAATAATATTGAAAATAAGGAACAAACGCCAAAGGGGTCTGCCTAGAGTGTGACTGGTGGGATTGAAATTGATGTGATGGTGGAAGGGGATGAGTTGAACCTATCAGAGATTCCGGGTTACGACTAGGTGTCCCATGATATTCGCAAACATAACTCTCATAGGGAAACAAGTTGGTGGATCTAGCCAAGCGGGTGTACATTCTCGGGGATAACATTGATGATGTTGTAAACTTTTAGGTGTGCAAAGGGAACAAGTGGGTATGTCACGAGGTTGTACATTCTTGGGGATAACATTGATGCATGTTTCCTCTCCGACTTGTGCAAGTGGATCATGTTCGACGACTTCCAGATGAGAGTATTACAGGCCTTGAGCATTGCTCCTACCCAACTCCACCCAAGTGCATGGGTGATCATTCAGGAATTCAGAATAGTATGTAGGGCATTTGGTTTAACCTCTACTCTTACCTTATTTCGTCATTATTTTTACACCTGGTCAAACCTGAAGGTGGGGCTAACTATCTTTAATAAGCAAGTCCGACAAGTGGCTTTTCCAACTATTCGTTGCTTCGTAATAGAACTTTAAGGACGAGTATTTCAAGGTGACCATTAAGACAAAAGGTCATAAGTATTTCTTCGACAAGAACGATCAACCCTAGTTTCCTCTTTACTAGACTAGGAATCCCGAGTAGGTGACCTCTTGGTGTGATACCCAGATGACACCCATGGATCAATCAACACTTAAAGTATTGGATGAGGTTGTTAAGACAAGATCATCTATAAGACTGAACTGTCTAAACATCCTCATATGTTTTGAAGTTTAACAAATAGCAATAAATGAAATGAGCATATGACAGAGTGTCCTCTTTGAAAAAGTAATATATATAAAAGATAAGCAGTTTATGCAAATACTTTGTGAAATCTAAATACCTTGAAAAAAGCTTTAGTAATCACGCCAATACATGAACAGACGCACTGCTAAACGGTTTTCTTATTAACTGCATCAATGAGAGTCTTGCTAAAATGCAATCGTGTTATACTTTGCTAAACAAAGCTAGATGAGCTCTTACTATGATTTATAAAATGATGGTTTTGGTAAATGTGCTAAAAGGTACAAACATTATCCAAAAACACATGTTGAAAGATATCTCACTAAATGTGCTCTTGAATCAAACAAATACTTGCTAAACAAGGTGTTGTTAGGAAAATCCTTTTATAGGCTAAACGATACCATGTGTTAAACGAATCTTTAATCCAACATGAAACTCTCATGAACTGCTAGGTATCTTCTATAGAATGCTTAAACGATCAAATGTTGATTGAGCAATAGAAAATTGAAATGTTTATAGTTATTCTAAACGTGCATTAAATGTCATTAAATGCATAACGTCTCAAAACAACAAAAGTGATAAGAAAAATAACATATCTGCCTACATGCATATATACTCTACTCTATGTAGATTACCTATGTCAAGTATCCACCTGCTCTATCAAATACAAGTCAGAAATGGACGTTAGAGACAAAGAAGACATTAATGGAATGTTCTCTTTATCAAAAGTTGAGCCAAAAAGTTTGTTCAACCTACTTTTGATAAAGAACTGAAAAAGCATGTATGCTCTGACAAGTTGACTTTAACCAACGGGTACTACCTACGATAAGGCTAAAAAGATCTGAAGATCAAAGAAAAATACTATCTAACAGACATTTTTTGAAGCCTATATATTAAAGAATGTCAAAGAAAAGAGCAAGAAAATAAGCACACGAAAACGAAAGAAAATATTTGTGAGGAAAAACAAAGCTCAAAAGAAAAAGAAAGCACTTTCAAGTTCAACAGAATCATAAGCTTACTATTGTAAGAAGAGAGAAAACTCTGAGAATCTGTTAGATTGAATTGTATTGTATGCACATCCTCTTTGTGAGAGTAATCGTCTAACGACTTGTAAGCGATCTGTTTAATTGCAAATTCTTAAGAGAATTAAAACACTTAACGCTTAACTCGTGAAGTGAGTCAAACTCAACTAGACAATATATCGGAAAGATACCAGGAGTGTCTAGGGATACCAAGAGTGGTGAAGAATACTGCACAATCAAGAGTGGGTGAAACTCGATTCTAGTAAGAGTAACGAGGGGTTACTTGGATTGACTATGTGGTACTAGGAGTTGTGAAAATACTCAGTTGTAATCTTGTTGAAGATTATAGTGGAATCCTCTAAGAGGTCTT